GTTTCCTCTGCCCTTCAAGCCTACTGAACATGGAGCACTTAGGCTCATTGTCACTCTAGCCTGTCTGTTTAGGTTGATATTAAAGACCCCATCACACTGTTATATCTGATGATCTGGCTAACTATTCCCAGATAAATAATTTATTCATCTCAGGAGTCCTGTAGCTCAATGGTTAGAATACTCGCCTCACAAGCAATTCACTGTAGGACGAAACATTGGGCAAGTTTCCTTACTCCACACACCTCTGTTTACCTAGGAGCAAGTAGGAACCCAGTTGTTGTTATTGGCGGATCGCTTTTCTGGGGGAAATAATTCCTTCAAAAAAAATAATAAATTGGTCACTCAATCCACAACCGTTTGTGGGACATTGCTGTGTGCAATTGGCTACTGTGTTTTGCCCACAAAATATACAGTCAATTCACTTTACAGTATATTCTGTGATGCACTTTGAGTCGTTTTGAAGATGGGATAAGCTGCTATATCAAATGCAACGATAATTATTATTATCTCATGGATGTTTTGGGGGACTTTACTGTGCTCAATATAGCTGCTGCCTATGCCGGCAAAAATAGTCACTACACTCACTAACTGTGTAATTACTGTTAAACAGTTGAAGGATTTTGATACGCATTATATATATGAAAGTTGTTTCTTACTGATGTCACTAGCTGCTCAACTTTTTTTCTATCTGTTTGGCTGAATAGTAGTTTTTAAGTCTGATACTTGCTGTTTTGTATTGGCAGTTCTCTTCAAACAAATTGTAACATAATATTGTATTAAGATTAGTGATCATTATTGTGAATGCTTTCACTGTCATCTGATACAAATATTCACATTAATCTGTGAGCAAAAATGCCAAAATTTCCATCCTGCCAATGCTATGCACCTTCAATGCCCACAGAATATAACTGACCTTACTTTACATTGACTTCAATTGAACCTTTATCTCCAATGTTTTTCTGTGGAAAAAAATTGTCTGCAGTTGAAGTAACTTATAGAGTAACTTAAAGATGATGTACATTTATTGTGCGTTCACACCTACTGTCACTTGATTGATGGCTGAACTGAGCAGAATTCCACGAATTCCAATACTGTGGTGTCCGAGCAGATGTGTTGCAGGCCTGAGAGTGACCACCAGAGGGGGCTTGAGATTGTCAATTGTTAGCACCGAGATTTGTTTTAAGCGCTTGAATATTGAAGGAGATAGTCCAAGATAAGAAGCATCGAGAAGAAAAATCAAACTGGCACTTTTTTTTGAGCATGCTGTATAGTTAGGGAATTTCCTCAATTTATTCATTCACAATTTATATTCGTATAGAGCCCTTCATGTAGAGCAATTTTGCAGTGCACTTAATTTTAGAGGTAGATTTTTAGGCGGATTTATGAAAAGTATTAGTGAGGGAGGGCGAGATGGATGGATTGATGAAGGAAGGGATTGAAGGAGGGAGTTCTAGAGGATGAGGGTGTGGTGGCTGAAGGCTCGGCCACTGATGGGCTGAAGGGGACAGGGAATACGCAGCAGGTTTGCGTTTGCTGAGTTGAGAGGCCAAACAGAAGGGTAAGGTTGGAGAAATCACAGAGGGAGGAGCGAGCGTGTGAAGGGATTTGTAGGTGAGGGTGAGGATATAGAAGTTAATCTGATGAAAGTGAATCTGCTCATTCATTTTTGTATTAATGTTTCCTCTCTTTGAAGGAATAATTGTTTTTCTTCAGGAATCAGTCACAGTATAGTGAAGCTTAAATGAGCTCCATACATCCTTCAACACATGTCACAGTCTGTCCCTTTATCATTTATGTCATAATTCATTTGTGCATCAAGAATACATTTAAGTATAAAATCACTTATGATAAACAGTCAACTAATGTTGCCATAAGTCAGAAATAATGTGGAGAATGCATAGGCTTACAAAAATCATTTTGCGATGTTCTGTTGCGTTAATTAACACTGAGCTGATAATTAACACTGGGTTAATTTAGCAAAATTATAATATTTAACACATTGACTGATACCTGGTATGCTGGGGGAGACAGCACCCTCCCCCTACCCCTTTCTCAAAGGGCATGTACAAGAAAGGCTAGCTGTCCTCATTGGACTTCCAACTGATGGGATACCAGTTTGCTCTGATGTCTTTATGTTTATTAAAAACCAGCATCCTGCCAGCAATCCAGGGCCACAACGTACAAGACCAATTGGTGGCACAGCTGACTTCTGACAAGCAACCATTGAGAAAAGCCAGGGCGGGCTGCTCCTCCAGCACTCCCTGGGATCAGTTGATGTGTTCAATAATAAAAAAAATGCATTTGATCAAAAGGTTATTATTATCATAAAGTTATTAAATTGTTCCGTGTGCTAATCAGCACATACATGTGTAGTAATTTATCGCAAACTTCTTCCCATAGTTCTTTCCAGTGTGGTGCTTATTATCAGGTAGCTGCTGTTCAGAAGCATAACTAAATGAGAAAGCATCAGCTAATCTTAATAATAATCCTTGCATTTGATATAGCGCTTTTCAAGTCAGGAGGATGTCCCAAAGTGCTTCACATAACACACTGAAAAGTGAATTGACTATATTTGTGGGCGAATGCGGCAGCCAATTGCGCACAGCAATGTCCCACAAACAGTCGTAGATTGAAATTGACCAATTTATTATTGTTTTGGGTTTTGGAGGGATTATTATTGGGAGTGTGGAGTAAGGAAACTTGCCCAAGGTTTCGCCCTGCCTGGAATTGAACTCAGGTCTCTCACTTGCGAAGTGAGTGCTCTAACCACTGAGCTGCAGGACTCCGCTAGGTGTGAAAATCCACCAAGAAGTGAGTTATTGACATTTAATTGGGGATAAACGCAAAAGTAACAAACACCATCAGTAAAAGTTCCTCACTTAACAACACAAATCATCTCATAAAGTTTTGATAACTTTCAAAGCAACCAGTTGAAGAGTTGGTTGATACCAACCCACTAAGTAATGTATGATTTCTAGGTTTTCAATGCCAATGGGCATTGCTTACATTCAATGTATGTGTTTTGGGCTGTAGATTCAATTGTGCATCTGGAATTATCAGGCTACATTTTGAATTTTTAAATACATTATTTTAGTGGGTTTAGTTGACATGGATGAACAGCTAAATTAAAAGATGTTCCTTATTTTTAACATTGTGGGTTACAGTATTATTGTGTTTGTATGCTGGTTCAAGTGAATGTTAGCAGTTTCATGACTCGATTTCAAACAGAATAGAGTTGTCCTGGTGTCCTTCGCCTACCTATTCATCCCTCATCCAAATCCATCAAAACAGTTTAATTGGTTAGTCATCTTGTTACTCTTTGTGGGATGTTGTGGCTCGGATTAGCTTCAGCGCTAAACTTCATAACAACAGTTGTGACAGTTCAAAGTAATGCAGTCCTTGAAGTGCTTTGACATGTTTTGATAAAAGAATTGGTACCCCAGATTGTGCATTACTGCTGCAGTTTTACCAGCTAAAACCACATAGCCATAGAAAGCACCGCTGGGACCACCCTACAAGTTAGGGCTTTGGCTTCCAGAGTTTATAAAAGCTGAATGGGAAGAAACTCTGCTTCCAGAGATTGTCCAAGTCCTGGGGTCTGACCCACCAAGTCATGCTGATGAGCCTGGACAGCTGGTCTGTCATCAGCAATGCCCTGGAGTACTACCCTTAGGACCTGGACTCCTGAGACCGCCACACGAGATTGACTCGCTTCTGACATGTTGTTGCCAAGCATGGCACCTTGGTACCAGTTTAACTCCAAGCACACTCCACTTACCTCCTTGGTCCCACACATCCCCACCCCAGAGGAATTGTATAAAATTGAGCCGACACTGAGGATATAAGGATGTTATAGGGATACTGTAGTTGTTTAAAATTATATAGTGTACATATGGTAATTGTTTTAATTTTGCGCAATTTAAATGTAACTCTTACAGTCAAAGCTGTGCAGAGATTGTTATCTTTTCATCTCTGTTAACCCTCCTCTTTAATTGGTACACATATACTTTTACAGCCTTACAGACTATAATATTACATTATAAAACAGTTACCAGTTCTTTCATTGATGCATTTCATTGCTGTGAAATGTAATACTAAATGCAGACAGATTCTATACACTACCTTCACTTAGCATAAGCAATCCTAGATACACCCCAGAAAAATAGGAATTACTTGCCACTGTGCAAACCCATGGCTCCTGTAGGGAGAAGCTATGAAATGAAGGTCAACATAGAATTATACTCCTGAGAAGCACCTCAAGCTTCTTTACCCATAAGAGGCAATATTGGATCAATCAAGCATTTGTCACAAACATTTCGAGTGTGACTCACTTGTTCAAGTTAAGAAACATAGGGGTGAAAAATAAATTGTTTCATAACATACGTGTGATATTGAATCCGTTATGAAAATGCAATATTTCAGAACAAGTTCAAGGATCACATTGAATCTGTTATGAAATATTGCATTTCCTACCCCATAACCAGTTTCTATTTACCTTACTGTTTAGAAGTAAGTGCTTGAATGGCTTCACAATAATTTCACACCCTCACATTACCTTTTCTCGTAGGAAAGCCCATTGATATTTATGCTTTGTGAGTAGCTCTATGAGTACATGGTTAGCAGTATTGAAATGATTCCTTTGCACAACAAGCTTGGTACAAACCATGAGTTAGATAATTGGTTTGGAGTACCTGACACTCAGTTCCCAAATTCTTGTGTGTTGAAGTGTCTTGTGCATGACAGGCTTAAAGCTGGGATTGAATATCGGTTGCTGGCGGCTCAGCAGGATGACTGACAACAGTGGATATCAGTTTGGTTAATTATCTATGCCACTGTTCTGCTTGAGGAAACCTGCATGCCTACAGGCAAATCATTAACTAGGAAGCAATCTTTCAGGGAGGACTCCAGTAATCATGGTCTCGATTCGTTCCCAGTGATGCACACAGAGCCTTTCTAACTTGAGACTGAGGAGCTGCTCTGTTAATCTCTCTTTCCTAACAATGCCTGCAGCAGTCAGTTCAGCTCCGGATGGTATCCTCATAGAGACAGGCAACACGGAGCACGTGCTATCGGAATGGGACAAAGCAAACCAGGGTCCTCAGGTCCCGGAGTGTTTTATTAAATTGCCTCAGGATCTGGCGAAGAGTTTCCCTCACACAAAACGGGTTGGGAGTTACCTGGTGGGTAAGATGATCAACAAAGGGTCATTTGCCAAGGTGATGGAAGGCCTACACATTCCAACAGGGGAAAAGGTAACAGAACCATCAGTTGTCCTGAGTTTGTGCTTAACTTATAGCAAAATAAAGGAAACAAAAGTTTAGCAAAGAACTGAATACTTTCAACTGAATGCAAGAATTAGAGAAACCCACAGGGTTGGTGTTGATTGGTATTTACAGAAAGTTTAGAAAAAGAACTGCAAAAACAAGGTGAACTAATTTCAGAAAAAAGAAAACAAAGATTACAGTTCTGAACAATTAATATTGTTGTAAAACAGGATCAGATGTTATGAGCAAGAAAGAAGTAGAAAGTGGTCAAATTTAGTTTTGTTTAATAATACTTGTATTTGATGTAACGCCTTATCACATCGTCGAGATGTCTCAAAGCACTTTACAGGATTTACTGTAAAGTGTAGTGATTGTTTATTTTTCTAGGTGAATGGAATAGGTTATCTTTAAGTCTCCTACATACTGCACCTTGCATCTGTATGCTCATGCACGTACAAATATACATTATCACATTTGGCTTTTCTTACACCCTATTTATAATGCCCGATTCAAGTTTTGATTCTGCAGTAGGTTCTGAGGAATGTCTGATGACAGTCGGTGATGATCTTATACTCATTGTTGTGAACTAGAGGGCATTAGAAATTGTTAGCAGTTTGGTTATGATCCTATAAAGAGTCCTGTAGTGTATTGGTTAGAGGACATTGGTTCGATTCCTGGCGAAGGCGAAAGGTTAGGCAAGCTTCCTTACTCTACATGCCTCTGTTTACCTATCAGTAAGTAGAAAACTGGTTGTTAATCGATAACGGGGGATTTCCAGGGGTAATAATCTCTTCAAAAAAACAAATAAAGATAATAATTTAGTCACTCATTCCATGACTGTTTGTGGGACACTGCTGTGCGCAATTGGCTGCTGCATTTTGCCCACAAAATATACAGTCAGTTCACTTTACAGTATATTCTGTGAAGCGCTTGGAGACATCTCGAAGACTTGTTAAGGCGCTATATCAAAATGCAAGGATTATATTCCTTGGAATTGATATTAGCGCCTTTCACCTCAGAAGGAAATGTCAATGTGCTTCACAGGATATACTGTAAAGAGGAGTGACTATGTATTTTTAGCGGCAGCTGAGTTCCACGAACGACCATGAAGTGAATTTGGAGGTTCAGTTTAATGTGGAGGACTGTTGGCCAAGACACCAGGAAAAACCCACTTCTCTTTTGGAATAGTGCTCTTTAACGTTCAGCTGAACAGACACGACCTGCGCTTAGCGTCTTAGCCGAAGGATAGCACCTTCAACAATGCACGCCAGTAATGTGTTGGAATGTCAGCCTAGACTATGACTCAGCGTTTCATTGTGGGGCTTGAACCCACATCCTTCTGACTCAGAGGTGAGGGTGAGGCAGAAATGAAACCAGCTTCAATTGTGAATTCCAGCACTGGTGGTGTAAGGTACGAACAGGAAAACATAAAGAGCTTGATAAAATAATTGTTGATTTGGTTCCTTGGTGGCTAAACCCTTTTCTGAATCCATGGAGCAGTAGCATCGCTGAAAGTTCCCTTATTGCCTAAACTGCACTTGTCCAACTGGTAAGAATTCAGCAGTAAAACCATCACCACATCCAAACACTTTTCCAGTTTGGCTGCAATGTTTTACCTACAAATGAAGTAGTAATAATAATAATCATAATACTAAGCCTTACATTTGGTATAGCTCCTTTCATGTCGGGAGGATGACTCAAAGCATTTCACAGGATGTACTGTAAAGTGGAGTGACTATGTATTTTATGTGGTTGAACAATGACTGAAATAGCACCAAATTGTGCAAGGTGCAGATACAGGTATGGATCAGTTTATACACAGAGAGTTCATCGGGACACAGTGTTTGTGAGTGGAAAGCTCAATAAATACTGTGGTATCAAGATTTACTTATAGGACAAGACGTATCAGGCATGATAGAACAAACTAAATGGTCCTTTACTCAAAGGGTACCAGAAATGTGTACTGCTTCCAGTTCCACTATTTACTGTTAACTCTTTACAGTTGCTCAGTAATATGGAGCACAGTTTTAAGAACACGTATCTTAATACCAGAACTGATGTATCAGAATTGTCGATTCTCAAACTTGAATGCTCTCTTAAGCATGGTGATGCATTTCCGCATCTATCAGATGGCTGACCAAAAAAAAAACTTGAATTTAGCTCTAAAATGTATAATCATAAGCTACAATTTGAGGTGACATTTGTTGCACTTATCCTGAGTCTGTGCTGGCTGGAGTTGCCATAATAGAACTGGCCCTCATTGTAGCACACTCTCTTTTCTGGAGTGCCTTTTCCAGAGGGAAAGCGAAGTGCCTGGAGACAGTTGATTTTTGCTACCCCAGCTTTGATTTCACAAATGCACTCCTCACTGGTCTCCCCAATTCCATAATCCACAAGATCCAGCTAATCCCAAACCCCAATCCTCACCAAGCTCTCTTGACTCCCTGTCTCTGAATGCATTGTCTTCCAGGTTCTTACCCTCACACTTAATTCTCTCACACCCATCACCTTCCTACCTCTCTGTTCTGCTCATGCTCCACTATTCTGCTTGCCTCCTCTGTCCAAATGTTAACATCCATTAATGGGATTCAGTGGAGATTCATTCAGATATTACTAGGGTAGAGATGTTATTGTTAGACATAAAAGACTTGAAAAGTGGGAAATGCAGCCAAGAAGAAGGGCAAATCTACTTGAGGATTTTAAAATTCTGAATAGTTTGGATAATGCAAATAGAGAGATTATTTCCATCGTTTGTTGAATTGGAAACAAGAGGGGACACTGAGGACATACATTGAGAACTACCAACAAATAAAAAAAACTCGCATTTATATAATGGCCTTCATGTAGGATAATGTCTTTGAGCACTTTTCACAGTGAGTTGGACACTGAGCAAGGAAGAAGGGACAGGGGAGGTGATCATAGGCATGGATGAAGAGTCAAATTTGCAATGCGATGAAGGTGCAGAAAAGCAGTCTTGGACAGGGACCAATTGAAAGAAAGGAAGGAGATCTGAGTATCAAACCAAATACTGAGTTTGTGCACTGGGAGGTGCAAAAAGGAGGTTAGAAAAAAACACTGCAACAAGGTTTGTTAGAAAGTAGAAAGTCCAACTGCAAATGGTTGTTAAAGCCAAGCCAATAATAACATTTAAAAGGGAATTGGATAAACACTTAAAGGTTATAAGGAAGAAGCAGAGAATTGGGATGATAGTAGCTTCAGAAAAGAGCCGGTACCCACATATATACACAATGGGTTGAATAGCCTCATATTGTGCTGTTAATTTGCTGTGATTCCATAAAAAATTAATCTTGGTTATTTTATTTTTTAAAATCTGAAAAAAAAACTTTAGGGTGCCTGCAGGGTGAATGAATATAACTTCTCAGTAATAATGCTCTACTGGGATTTTCATTCAGAGTTTATGCTTGAATCGACATCTTGGTACTATGGACATTCTTCCAAAATGAGGCAGTGATTTGAAATGTCCTGGAAAATATAATAATTTCCATTCAGCTCTAAGGATAGGAATATGGCAGAAATCTTAAAATTAAGGGTTTCACTAGAAAAATGCAAGGAAGTAAATATAGGAAGCACATATACTCCATGGATGGAAAGGGGAAGATCGAAGGATGTTAATTGACTCACCATTCACCATCTCAAAATAGTGTGAGGCAACGATAAACAAGGCAAATAGGATGCTGAACTATAATACTAAATCAATTGTGATCTGGTTTCAAGAAGTCATATTGAACTTGTACAGTGTTCTAGTCAGGTTTTGCTGGGAGTACTGCATACAGTTATATTGCCTTGACATAATAATATTCCCTACATTTGGTATGGCACCTTTCATGTCAGGAGATAGACCCAAAGCACTTCATAGAATTTACTATGAAGTGAAGTGACTGTATATTTGTAGGAAAATGTTATAGCTCAGTTGTATACAGCAATGTCCTGCAAACAGCCATGAACTGAATTATCAATTTTTATTTTGGAAATTGTTGGTCTGGACACTGGAAGAAATGCCCTTCTCTTTTCGAATAGTGCAATGGGATCTTAACGTTCACCTTAATAGGCAAAGAGGCCCTCAGTTTAAAATCTCATCCGAAGGACAATACAATATACCATCAGCACTACATTGGAGTATCAGCTTATGATGTGAGCCTCGAGGTGGAGCCTGAACCCATAACTTTCTGACTCAAAGGTGAGCATGCTACCACTGAGCCAGACTGACCAGGTGGCTGAAAAGGGGCTGCCCAGGCTCCAGAGCCAATGCAAAGGAGAACGCTGGTTCCCAGTGTTATGAACCATTAATAATAATAATAATAATCCTTGCATTTGATATAGCGCTTTTCACGTCGGGAGGACGTCCCAAAGCGCTTCACAGAACACACTGTAAAGTGAATTGACTGTATATTTGTGGGCGAACGCGGCAGCCAATTGCGCACAGCAATGTCCCACAAACAGTCGTAGATTAAAAATGACCAATTTATTATTGTTTTGGGTTTTATGAGGGATTATTGTTAGGTGTGTGGAGTAAGGAAACTTGCCCAAGGTTTCGCCCTGCCTGGAATTGAACTCAGGTCTCTCGCTTGCAAAGCGAGTGCTCTAACCACTGAGCAACAGGACTCTAGGTATATACTAGGTATATAGGATTTTAAATTAGATTGAGAAAGTAATAGTAATAATAATAATAATCTTTGCATTTGACATAGTGCCTTATGTAGTGGTGGTGACGTCATGACCAGGGAACCTGCAAACTCGATTGAATTCTCATTTGAATGAAGACTCAATGTCTGTTAGAATGTTGCATGGTAATGTTTCGGTCATTTACACCCCATAGGTAGCAGGAACTGTTTCACTGTCTCAAATGGAAGGAATGTTAACTGGGGTGCACCCTCTCAGTTAAAGGATGTTGTCGTCTGAAGGAGGCCTGATTTGAATGAAAACTTATAGTCTGTAAGAATGTGTATTCTGCAACCCCCAGTCCCCTAATGTTCTGCAGCTTGTCTGTCTGACATCAGGAACAGGATGAACACGACTTTCCTGCAGTTAAATGTCAACAAGACGGAAGCCATATTCTTTGGCTCCCGTCGATGTCTTCTATCCCACGGGTCCAACCGCCTCAACCTACCTAACTTGTCCTTAAAACTCTGAACCCGTGCACAACTTAGGCATCAGGTTTGATCCCTAGTTATCCTTCCTACCCACATCCGATCCCTGATCAACACCACTTTCTTCCACCTCCACCACATTGCCTGTCTCCGACATACCTCACCCCAAAAGCTGTCAAAACCCTTGTCCATGCCTTTGTCACTCTCGGCTGGATTACTCTAACCCCTCCTTGCCCATCTCCCCACCTCTACTATTCACAAAATTCAGCTCATTCAAAGCTCCGCCGCCTACAATCTCAACCGCACCAAATTCCGTACCCCGATTACTCCAGTCCTTACCAATCTCCACTGGCTCCCTGTCACAGAGTGGATCGAATTCAAGATCCTCACTCTAGTGTTTAAATCCCTCCATTCCTTGGCAAACCCCCCTATCTCTCCAACCTCCTCTCTCCCCACAGCAGTACCCGCTGCCTCTGCTCTAATGGGTCCAGTCTCTTCCACGTCCCCCGAATCCTCGCTCCACCATCGGCAGCCGTGCCTTCAGCCACTACACCCCAAAACTTTGGAACTCCCTGCCTCAATGCCTTCGCCTTGTCCCCTCCTTCCCCATCTTCAGGTAGTGCCTGAAGACCTTCCTTTTCAACCGCGACTACAGTCATCTTCCTCCTCCCATTGGCTCGGCCTTGGGCTCCACCATTGTTAAGCGCTCTGAGAGGCCGCCTGACATGGAGGGCGCTATATAAGTGCAAGTAGTTGTTGTTGTATTGTTTGAGAGTACAAGGGAACAAGGAGATAAAAACACTAGTTGTTTGAGCAGGTAGGAGAGTTGCACCTTGGAGAGACTTGTAACAAGACGTGGATCAGCTTGCTCCCCTGCTCAAACTGTAAGTACCGGCATTTTATGTATCACAACTCCGGCTTAGTATAAGGCTTTGGGGTGTTGTTAAATTATATGCTTGTGTTCATTAAATATTTTAAATTTATTTCAAGAAGTGCATATATTAAATTTGTTAATATAAACGGGTACTGGTTTTGTCCTCCCAACTCTAATCACTGGGGCATTGGATATAAAATGCTAAGCTCTGTGACACTTATCATATTGTTAAGACATCTCAAAGTTCTCTACAAGATATATTGTAAAGTAGTTTGACTGAAGTAAACCCATCATAATATTTTGAATGTATTGAGACAGCCAAATAAGAGAACAGAGGTTTAAGTTGCAAAAGGCAGTTTCAGGACAGACACCAGGAAATACGTATTTATCCAGAATGTAATTAAAATATGGAAATGATTACCAGGAAGGGCGCTTGAGACCAGGACATTGGATTGACTCAAAAGACAGCTCAGTACTGTGATATGAGGATGGTTGGGTGTTCTGAGATGAGAAACCTGCACCTTGGGATGTCGTCCCGATGTAAAAGGCACTATGTAAATGTGATTTGTTCTGGTTGTTTGTTGATGAGATCAGATGGCTGGAAGCGTCTTCTTCTAAGGGCCATTCTTATGATCTTGTGAGCAAAAAATTATTAAATATTAGTTCCAGGCATCACTGAGAATTTGTTATAATCCTCAGACCCTAGGATGTGCCAATTAGATAATTCTTTTCAATGGTATTTGCTTCACTGAGCAGCTACCAACTTATTTTCTAATTGTCATGATCAACTACATTTACTGAAAAAATAACTTTGGATCTGACTTTCAGTCAATCAAATATGAGGGGTGAGAGTACTGAATGAACCAATGTGACACCTGAGAGACATGCTGGAATTTGGTGCCCAAACAAACTTATATTCTTTTTCATTGTTGTTTAATTACCAAATTACATAATTAAAACCATCTGCAATTCCCACATTACGCATGCATTTACACATGGTTATCACAACCTGCAAATTAAATCCTATATGTGCATATGTATTACAAATCTTCATTTCTGATTACTAAACTGGCAAATAGCTGATTGATCTGATTATTTCACCAGGTAGCCATCAAAGTGATAGACAAGAAGAAGGCCAAGCAAGATTCTTATGTCCTGAAGAACATGAAACGAGAGCCCCGCATCCACCAAATGGTCCGACATCCAAACATTGTCCAACTCTTTGAGACATTGGAGACTGAGAACTCTTACTACATGGTGATGGAGCTGTGCCTGGGAGGCGACTTGATGGAAAGAATCTGTGACAAGAAGAAACTGGAAGAAAGAGAAGTGAGAAGGTACACCAGGCAGATCCTGTCAGCTGTGGAGCACCTCCATCGCCATGCAGTTGTGCACAGGTAGCAACTCCAATTTTGCTTCTCTAACCCCCTCCAGAGCCTGCTGTTCAACCACATGCCTGTTTTCATTGGTTTGCTCATAAACAGAGATTGCTTTAATCTGAATTGTTACACCATTTCAAATGCTAACATCCTGAATCTCACAGTACTGAAATAAATACTGAATATTTCTGTAATACTGCAATTCAAATGCCAGTAAGTCTATTGATTATATGTACTAATAATTAATAATAATATTAGCTGGATACAAATAAAATCTAAATTTTGAAACAACTTTAATTTTGTTAGACATTAATAATGGTAGTGTCCAAATTGTATCTTTCAGCAAATAGTTATCCAAATCAATCTTGAATTTGCAGATCATCCGCATCTGTCTCCATTGCCTTTCTGGAGAGTCTACTTCACATATTCTCCATTATCTGTGTAAAATAATTAAATCTAAAGTATCCATCCGTTCACCTCTGCTTGTCCGAGCCACAGTTGTATCAATGGTGAAACTTATCGCCAGCCACATCTGCACTTCTCCAAGGATATAAATGCTGTACAAAGGATTAAGAGAAGACCATACCTTCTGCCCGCTCCTTTTGGCTGCCAAACCGTGGTTGAGTTATCTCAGTTTACAAACATCAGGACTGAAAGGCCACGGTTGTGGGTGATAACAACAAAGATGGCAGGTTCACAAAAAACTCAAGCAGCTTTGGGTCAAAGTATTTTGTCAAATGAGGGAGAAGGTACTCAATCACAAACCTACTCATAATTAGAGATCAAATCAGACTGTAATTTTGACTGATATAAGAATGATATCACATCAGACACATTTTCCACTTCATTGGCTTTTACTTCTAAACAGAGATTCAGTCCCACTTCCAATAATTTTTTGGTTGTCTGAAAATTGGAAAACCATCATATTGCTTAACAGTATCCAAACCAGACCAAGAGCTCCAAGTATAGCAATAATAATCCTTATATTTGTTATGACGCTTTTTCAAGTCAGGAGGACATCTCAGATGATTTACAGTTTGCCATTGAGAGAACCTTTAGCAAGCTTCCCACTGCATGTCTAGTTATTAACACCGTTCCTTTTAGGACCTTGGCTTGCAGGAGCTATGTGGGAAGAATCCCTGCTTTCAGTGTCTGGTCTCCCCTCCAAGTCATGCTGCTAAGCCAGGTTCGCTGGACTGTCATCAGCAGTGCTCCTGAGAACTGCGGAAATTCATATCTCAGTTAGTAATAACAATGCCAGTGTTGAACTCAACAATACAGATCATGAAGGTACCAAGTTGAATTGCTAGTCATTGTTGAAACAGCTGATCAAATCTTAGATTATAACAGGATTTCTGCAATTGACCTTATCACTCCTAGGCTGTGGAAAGGACAAATCAGCTAGGAGCTCCTGCTTTGCTATCCAGGAGCTTTGCTGGAAAATGTACCTATGTAGATATTGTATTGAGTGCGGAGCTCAGCTTTGATTATCAAATTATCTCATTATCAAATATTCTGCCAGCACTCACAGTCTAGACGGCCCGAAGGGCTACTTGGATGAACTCTGTATGCTTATGAAACCATACCCAATAAGAGTCAACACTTTCAGGAAAAGAAAAATTTGTTGACACAATTTTTTGACAATTTCAGAAAACAAACAACAACAACATCAACTTGCATTCATATAGCACCCTACACGTAGGATAAGGGTCTAAGAGTTCTTCACAGAGAGAATGATGCTAGCTCATTTTTTTTAACAACTATGTCTGTTTATATGGTGTTGACAGATCACAGAAAGCAGTCACTGAACTAATTGTCAGAATTTTGTTTGCAAGACACATCAGATATTCCTGGCTCCATACATACACCAGATGTCAAGAAATTCCAGGACCAGTTATATTTCTACACCTGTCAGCAGGAATCCGGGATGCAATAGTCAACAAAACAATGTGTGTAGATGGATTGTGGTCTGACTCATGGAACTGACCAAAACTCAAATAGTCAGAGACAGACAATATTGACTTGAACATCCTCAACATAGAAAGCTTTATATTTCACATGCAGGCATCCATAGTTTCCATTGGTGTGCAGAAGAAAATGGGGTGAAAAATACAACACCTGATGGGATAATTATTACAAGTGATAATTATCACATCACAAGTCATAGTTTCACCCCAATATTTCTATGAGAAAATGTGGCTTTTACTATTATAACCAATTATATTGAAAGCCCATATCTGTTTACTGTGTCTGCTAATCTTCATTGTTTGTTCAATTCAGGAAGTACATCTACCAGGTGTTTGTGACTGTTTCATAGGTAACATGCCAGCGCCTTGGGACATCTTCCCGATGTGAAAGGTGCTATACAAATGTAATTTTGTATTGTATTGTAATGTGCATTCCTAAAAGTCTATTAAACACTATAGAAGTTAGCAATGTTACACTTTGTTTCTGAAAGGCACCCGTTCCTTTACGTTCAATGTGTTCTTTGCAATATTTTGGGACTGATGTAGTTACCCAGTTAATGTACTCAGGAAGGAGCAGAAAATATTGAGTGGCAGAGCTAGTAGGAGTGCATTACTGTGGAAGGTTGTGCAATTATCAGACACATAATATACAGTACTTGATTATGAGTCCTTTAAATGCTGGAAGCACAAAGGCATGGCATTGTCTGATATGACAGAGAAGGTATCTGTTTCAGAAGCTGCTATCTCAATAACTCAATGGTACTTATGTAAGATAATAAGTAACCAATTGGGTTTAATAAAATCTTTTGTTTTCTCAAGGGACCTGAAAATTGAAAACTTCCTACTTGATGAAAATAACAATATCAAAATTGTTGGTAAGTAACATTGCAAAAAGTTATGTGGAAAAAGTTGTCAGCTATCACGCTGATTTTAAAAACAAAACAGGGCCCACACATGATAACCAAGATAGCAGCTAAAATGTTACAAAAATGGTCTTGGAATAATATTCAATCAATACACTTTACAGTAAAACCTGGGAAGCGCTTTGCGATGTCTTGATGACATTATAAGACGTTACATCAAATGCAAGCGTAATGAACTCTTGTGCCCCAATTTGTGTGTGGAGGAAGGGGTCGGTCAGTTCCACGTCCTATGAATAGAAGTAAAATTGTAAAATGTTGTAACTAGTTATCACATTAAATCCTTTGTGAAACATTTACATTTTCACTTACTATGTCCTTATATTATATTCTTATAACATTCTGGTATCTCGCTAAGTCAGAAGGTTGTAGATTTAATCCCATGCCAGGGGGCTTAAGGTCCAAGCTAACACTCCAATTAGTGTTGAGTGAGCACAGGATTGTTTGAAATTTTGTCCTTCGGATAAGACATTAAACTAGGATCCCATCTATCTTTTCAGGTGGTCATTGAAGATTAACACTAAGGGAGTTACCTGGGCAATATCATCTAGATAAAAGGCTCATCCACTCCATGACTGTTTAGGAACATTACTGTGTGTTAATTGGCTGTGTTGTTTGCTTACAGATGCTTCAATATATAGGTGTCAAATGTAAGAATTATTTATTTATTTATTTATTTAGGCAACTCTGTAAATTCAGGTTTAAGCAGCTTGATGCTTGATGGTGGAAGAACTGTTGGTTGTGGATTCTGGAGGAATGAGAAATATATCCAACCTAGTATTGTGATTTCAAAGACTCTGGAAAGCTATACGTGGCACAAATTCTGATTAAGCATGAATTGCTAACTGACTGATCTTGATTTCTTGTTGTGCTTTTTCCTTGATGAAGATTTTGGACTGAGCAACACCCTGAAGATCGACAGTCAGGAAATGCTGACTACACAGTGTGGGAGCCCAGCCTATGCTGCACCAGAGCTCTTGGCTCACAAGAAATATGGTCCAAAGGTGGATGTCTGGTCAATGTAGGTAACGGTAGGAATCGCAGCAAAATCTAAAGTTCTTTCCTGGATAAATATTTGGATATATAATAATAATAATAATCCTTGCATTTGATATAGCGCTTTTCACGTCGGGAGGACGTCCCAAAGCGCTTCACAGAACACACTGTAAAGTGAATTGACTGTATATTTGTGGGCGAACGCGGCAGCCAATTGCGCACAGCAATGTCCCACAAACAGTCGTGGATTGAAAATGACCAATTTATTATTGTTTTTTGGTTTTGGAGGGATTATTATTAGGCTCTGTGTGGAGTAAGGAAACTTGCCCAAGGTTTCGCCCTCTGCCTGGGATTGAACCAAGGTCTCTTGCTTGCAAAGCGAGTGCTCTAACCACTGAGCTACAGGACTCCACTGATATTTGGGAAGTAAGGTGATTCATTTAAGGGATAAATGAAAAAGCAGAGAAATTGGATTAAAATATCTGCTATAATCTAATAAAATGATGGAACAGGTTTGACATGCTGATGGCCTCCTGTTTTTTATGTGTACAACACCTTGGGTGAAAAATCCTATCTAGTATTAGCCTGTAAGACCACTGTGTTTTATAGTTTATGGTCCTGCAAAATTGTGGAAAATTCTTAAAATCTGTCTTGATTTGAAAGCTATTTCTGTTGAAGAACTGTGAAAAAAACACTGAATTGAAAAAATTTCTATGTTTCTGCTCAATATTAAATTTTAAGAAAAAAACTGGCTAAAACTGGACCTCCGAATGTAAACTCACAAACTAAATACATTTATGTCTCCATACAGCACCTGATCTGGTGTATATATCACACAAGTTGCACCTGTAGTTTTACACAAAGATACTCTGCTCCCTTTACTTAAGACAATATAAATTGGCACCTGTACCATGCCTATTGAAAACTATTAATATAAGTTTCATGTTTGTTTATTAAAATCATATAATGGAGGTGGTATATAAGTACAGTAATGCGCCACAATAATAACACAGTACTTGTGGGTTCCTAAAATCCCAATTAACATTATATTGGGGCGTAATCACAATTTACCACTTCTGGATTTAGGTTGGCCAGATTCCCCATGATAAAATAATAGCCGTCTTTCAGGCCATCAGATTGCCACACATCTGCAATGACTCCAATGAACTGAAACATAGACTGTCTTTAGACCACATGACACCAGATGGCCTTCTAAATGTAAATAAATTTTTTGGTAAATAATTGCCGGGGTCCAGACCCCAATTGTGCTAGAAGTGAACCTGAGTTATAACAGGATTCCACTTTTAGTAACTACTTGCTCCTTTAAAGCTGTGGTGTTTGTCCAATCTATTCAAAGACCGAAAGGCTGAATTTGAAGGCTACTATGGATCTTTCAGCTATTTTTTATTGAAGGAATTGTGTTACATAATACTCTGAAATCCCTCTGGTGGAGCCAACAAGGTACTGAGCATGACTCATCTGATTCAAGTTGACATTGTATATCACTAGAAATTTCTCTGAAAATTTCCTACATGGTTAAAGCAAACATGAATAGAGATGCACCAAAGGGATAAGGACAGGGAGCAACTTAGAGAAATTTTCATTAGTAGAGAATTGGTGCTAGGGAAACTGTGAGCACTAAAAGGTGACAAATCCCCTGGTCCGGGTGGCTTGCATCCCAGGGTTTTAAAAGAGGTAGCTTATGAGATAGTGGAGGCCTTATGTCTGATCTTCCAAAATTCCTTGGATTCTGGAACAGTCCCCATGGATTGGAAGATTGCAAATGTCACACCACTATTTAAAAAAGATGGAAAGGAAAAGATGGGGATCTATAGGCCAGTTAGTCTCACATCAGTGATAGGAAAAATTTTAGAATAGTTGATTAAGGATGTGGTAGTGCGGTACCTAGGGGAGCACAATATAATTAGGCCAAGTCAACATGGCTTTACAAAAGGGAAGTCATGTTTGACAAATCTCGTAGAGTTTTTTCAGGATATTTCCAGTAAATTAGATAAGGGTGAATCAGTGGATGTGGTCTATTTGGACTTCCAGAAGGAATTCGATAAGGTGCCGCATAAAAGGTTAGTTCAAAAGATAAGGGCCCATGGAATTGGGGGGAGCATATTAACGTGGATTGGGGAATGGTTAACGGGTAGGAAACAAAGAGTAGGGATAAACGGGTCCTTTTCAGATTGGCGGGATGTGACTCGTGGAGTGCCAAAGGATCAGTCCTTGGGCCTCAGCTATTTACCATCTACATCAATGATCTAGATGAGGACATCGAAGTTAATATATCTAAATTCGCGGATGACACAAAACTAGGAGGAAGTGTCAACACAGAGGACGACATTAAAAAATTGCAGCGAGACATAGAAAGGTTAGGTGATTGGGCAGGTAGGTGGCAGATGAAGTATAATGTAGGGAAGTCCAAAGTCATCCACCTAGGTAGCAAAAACAGTATTGCGGGTTATTTTTTAGAAGGGGAGAGATGGGAATGTGTTAGCGTCCAGAGGGACTTGGGTGTCTTTGAACACCAATCACAGAAAGTTAGTCTGCAGGGCAGCAGCAATTAGGAAGGCGAACGATACGTTAGCATTCATTATGAAAGGATTAGAGTATAAGATTAGGGAAGTCTTGCTGCAACTGTATAGAGCTCTGGTGAGACCACACTTGGAATACTGTGTCCAATTTTGGTCTCCTCATATATACCTATAAGATCATCAAAGGGCATGATAGAGTAGATAGTGGGAGAGTGTTTCCCCCGGTTGCAGAAACTAGAAACAGTGGCCACAACCTTAAAATCAGAGGCCAGCCCTTTAACATTGATTTGAGGAAGAATTTCTTCAATGAAAAACGGTGGTGAATGTATGGAACCCGTTACCCCAAAGGGCTGTTGAAGCTCAGTCCTTGAACAGATTCAAGTCTGAGATAGATGGATTTCTTATTGCAAAAGGGATTAAGGGATATGGGGGTAAGGCAGGGTCAGGTTATTAGCTGGAGTTAGATTAGAAGATCAGCCACGATTGAATGGCGGGGCAGGCTCGAAGGGCCGAATGGCCTACTCCTGCTCCTACATGTTATGTTATGTTATGTTATGTTATGTTATGTTATGTTATGTTATGTTATGTTATGTTATGTTATGTTATGTTATGAAGATATTCCACCTCCTGGCCAACCAAAGAAATGACCTGACTTACCCAAGGAACATCATTAGCAGGCCAGTCTTTCCTGAGATTTATCCATGGATCGGGGTACCTAAGCCTTTGAGTTAGCATGAATATGAGTTTATGTGAAATAATGAGAATAATGTGTCACATTTTCAGAAATCTGGACATGCACCCTGCCAACTCATGGCAATTTCCTCCAACTCCATTCATTCCTAAATTAAGGACTCCTGTTTGAAATCATCACATTTTAGATTTCAGTCTACTAATAAATGATATTTCTGCTTCTTAATTTATTTATTCTATTTACAGTGAGGAGATTTGTAAGATAGAGAAGGTTATATTGTGAATTCTGTAAAGAGAGTTGTATTTTTGAAGCTGACTCATTTGTTCTCTCCGATCCGTCAGCTGACTTTTACCCTACAAATATGACTCATAAACGTTAAGTTGTAAAATCAAGGTAACTACAACATTCACACTGTAATTCAAATCCCAAGTTAACAAAGTCCAAAAAGAAGACCAGCAAACAAAATAATCTTGGTGGGAAATGTTAATTTGGGTGCTTTTTTTCCCCAGATTTTTTTGACTTGACATTTGAAAATAAACTGGAAATTTGGAATTATTTTCTCTCTCCTTCCCCTTTCTTGAAGCCATTGACTGGCATATGGGTCTAAGGGAACCAGTGCAAGAGAAGGCCAAGGACTTCCTGATCTATATGTTCAGTTTCATACTGGGCACTGAACCATTGTGGAGAGCTAGGATATTTTTAGAATATTTATTGAGAGCACTGGCTGACAAACTTATAATATTGATAAACTTATAATACTTTCCACCTTTAAGAAAAATCTCTTCAAGATTCTTACCCACGGTCTTGATTAGTGCTTTCAATTTCAAACCAGTAAATATACTTTCCTGCCATTTTTCTTTTTTTTGCCCTTTATCACTATTTCTACCAGTGGCACTGAACTTTTATCTCTCTTGATATTTCTTTCACTTCCTAGCAACTGTACAGTGTTACATGTTCACATCCCACAGATGTATCACTCAGCTGTTTCTCTCATTCATCAACCATTTCACTGGTCAGCATACCCCAAGGGTGAATATAAATCATTGACTCTGTCTACTCAGCCATTTCTATTCCCAACTTGCTCATAGATCATTGACTCCAAACAATGACATTCATGCGGGAATTAAGACTAAGAAACACTGACAGGTACATTCTTCTTTAAAACTTTTTCTTAAAATGTAATTGAAATTGACTGTCAAGAGAAAGTTGTGCAGTAGAGAAAGAGAAGCAGTCAGCCAAAGACTGAAGATCTGAGTGCCACCTCAGGTGATACTATAAATATAACACCAAGGCAAGAAATAGGGAGCGACTTAGAGGAGATACCATTAACCTGTTATCCCACGTATATCACAAAAATTAAATAAGGGAAACTTAAAAGGACCATTGGAAGTATAGAAAGCTAATGTCGAATTTGTTTTAACGGTGTCCTGAACCAAATCAATACATTTATGTGTCATTTTTGTGATTAACTGACAAAAATGAGTGCATATTGGTGTACTGCTGGAATTTAACCAGCTAAAGCTACGTAGCTTGTCATTGAGAGCACTGACTGGAAAATTTCTCTTTGCTTGTCCAGCTAGGACTATACCGATTAGAGCTTTGGCTTTCAGGGTTAACAAGAGATAAGTTGGAAGAATCCATGTTCCCAGTGACCAGTGTGCCAATCCATTTTTTTTGATCAGCACCTGTTGAATCCCATTATCATATCCATAGCAGATTCAGAGTTCCACATATGTATGCCACCTACACTGTGCAATTCCCATGTTTGGAATGGAATATGCACTCTTCCCCTGGAAAGATGAACCCTCTTTACTTAATTCCAGAGAGTATTGAACTCAGGTGGGAAAAAGCCAAAGCTCAGAGTGGGTGTCAGGGTCCTGCTGGAGTTTATAAACAGTTAAAATCACATAGCTTGCCATTGAAAGCATTGTCTGCCAAACTTCTCACTACTTAACAGCTAGGACTATCTTACCCATTGGGGTTTTGGCTTGCACGGTTACCAGGAGCTGAGTGGGAGGAGTCCCTGAACCCCAGTCTGCCCGTTTAATCCTACTGATGAGCCAGGCTCGCTGGTCTGTCATTAGCAGTGCCCGGGAGTACTGCAGATCTGCCTGGCTCAGGAACTGAACTACTAAGATTACCTGTGAGGATTGACTCAATTCCAATATTCCATTGCCAAACTTGACACTTTACCTCCTCTTCTCCCTTCTCCCCCCCCACCCCCTTGCCCATCAACTGCTCCTCCGAGTCCTGCCAATGAGCTAGGCTGGCTGGTCTATCATCAGCAAAGTCTTGGAGTATTTCAGATTCAATGGGACTTGACTTCCAAGACTGCTATGTACTCCCAGTGTGAAAGGTGGTATAGTTAAATATAAATTTGCATTGTATTGTTGAAATATTTGACAATGTCTTGCCATGTTTGTACCCAGTGCTGTAATCTGCAACAATGTGATATCATAAAGACTTATTACAAGTTATTGTTTTTATTTCAATCTAAATAAAATGTAAGCTTTTTTTATTTTATGTGCCAGGCTGGTTCACTGGTAGCTCTCTGAGTCAGAGGTGAAGCAATCTGGGTGAATTTGTGGGTTGTGGGTTCAAGCCATACAACTCAGATTCATATTGTTTAGGCTAACATTCCAATGCAGTGCTGAGGCTGCGTTGAATTGATGGAAGTGCCGTTTTTCAGATGAGATGTTAAACATGTTCAGGTGGCATTAACGATCCCATGGTACTATTGAGAAAGAGAAAGGAGTTTCTGCCGGAATCCTGGCCAACATTCTTCCAAATAAAATTGGCCACTCACTTTATAGCTGTTTGTCCACAAAATGCCCTTAGAACCCTTAGTATATCTTATCAAGTGCTTTGATGTGTCCTCGTAATGCGAAAGGAGCTATAGCAAATATATGGGTTATGATTGTTATTATTATTGACTGATGAGCCTGCTTCTTGTGTGTCCTCTGTTAGGCTTCCAGTCATCGTGCACCATCATGACCAAGGGGTAGAGCAAACCTTCATCAGTGTTATTCTGATTTTGACAATAAAGAAGTAGGTCAGACTGGTGCAGGTGACTGCCACCCAAGTTTTCTTCTTTCTCCTCTCCAGGGAAGGTCAACAACTCAACATCTGAAGGATCTATTCCCTGTATCTTTGTGGCCCAGAGTGTTTGAGTTGCAAGCCAACACATTCTTGTGCCAGCTCAAACCAAGATGAAAATCTTAAAACCGAGGTTAACTGTGGGTAAGAGCCACTCATGTTGTAACACTAAGCCAGGCGGACCACACATTACAGGTTGATTTCAGCTGAGGAAGCAGTTGGGATGCTACAATTGACCTCAGAGCCCCTGAGCTAGAGACAGGGAAATATCAGTCAATATTGTCATCCGTAATTGTCATCTGCAGTCTGTCCTGCTGGAAGGTATATCCATCTGGAAAGCTTGTGAAGGCAGGATGGGGCTTGGCATGCCACTTGTGTACTTTTGAATTGGCCTGTGAGGAGCATGTTGGAGCTGAAATCCAGATGACCTATACTTACACAGGAATTACAAGTTAAGAATCAAATTGTGACTCAGAAATTAGACACTTATGTTGCCTCTGTCTCTAACAGTTTCATATATTTCACACTTGCGGAAGAATACCGAATGGTGCTATCTTACAAGTATATCAACATTAGTGTAACAGTGACAGACACCACTGTCTTTAATTTTCATTAGAATAAAATGTGCAGTTGTAATATTATGATGACAAAATCCATCTGATAACAAATATCAATTTACAATGGTCTAGACCAGAGTTCCAATATGAGCAATGAGAAGCTCAATCCCGATATGATGAACTGCTTTGCATAAGAGCAGTGTGTATAGAGGTTCAATTGTGACTGTGGATTTTAAAGATTAAAGTGATTGTTTGATGTATTTGAGTGTTTGGACTATTCTTTGTAACTCTGTGGAACCAGCTATAAAACTAAAGCATAACACAATGTTCTCTATCTAGAAAAAACATTTGACACATTACATGAAAGAGAAACTTTTTAAACTGAAAAGTCAAAATAAAATTTACATTACAGCTTTTTTTATGATAATACAGTTTGGGAAGTGGTGCATTTCTAGCAAAATATGTTTCTTGATTTTACTCTGTGCATATTCAATAAACTGTGATTTATATACTGTACAACTGTACACATTGGGTTGCTTTGGCATTAAGGTGTTGGGATGAAAGTGCTCAGTCCAGTGACATATTCTATTTACACTTGTACAGTGATATCACCATCAAAACACTATTAAGGCCAAAGCAGTCTAACATTCCTGTGATAAAACTTTATAATTTTACAGAACATATTTCAAAAGCATTGAAGGTCAAATGCTCTTGACGCAACTACATGGGTGATGGGTGTTATATAAATACAAGTTGTTGTTGTTGACGGTGTTGTATATGTTCCACTGACATGCCCTATGATCGCAAACATTTTTTTCTGTACTATGACTGTTGGTAATTGCAAAAGCAGTAGTTCTCACAAGATAATCATAAGTGGAAAGGGAAATCCACTGCTTGCAATATGGTTATCAGCTCTTGCTTGCTCTCAGTCTGAAGGTTTAACATTTACTCCAAACTGCTTATTTGACATACTGTACTTTATGTGATCATATCCCACACAGGTAAATTAAAATGGATAATACCACAAGGACCAGTAGTATACGGACTGAATCCCTGACTGTCCAAGGCTTTGAGAATTCCTCTTGATATGAAAGACGCTAATACAAATGTAATTTGTTGTTGAAAAATACACAAACATAATTTGTAATATTGTCAGACCAATATGGGTCAGGGGGAAACTTTATTGGATCACCTATTTGTAAAGTTCTGGGCAAAAGAGGTATCCAGTTTATATAATAATAATAATCCTTGCATTTGATATGGCGCTTTTCACGTCGAGAGGACGTCCCAAAGCGCTTCACAGAACACACTGTAAAGTGAATTGACTGTATATTTGTGGGCGAACGCGGCAGCCAGTTGCGCACAGCAATGTCCCACAAACAGTCGTGGATTGAAAATGACCAATTTATTATTGTTTTTTGTTTTGGAGGGATTATTATTAGGCGTGTGGAGTAAGGAAACTTGCCCAAGGTTTCGCCAAATATGAAAGCTTCCTGTTTATATTTTGATATTCAGAACTTGGCTGGTGTTGTTTGTTTGCAATAAATGTACAAATTCATTGCGACTTACATCCATGATCATTCCATAATAAGGAAATCAATTAACCACCAATACTACTGGTCCTTGTGGTATCATATACTTTTAATTTACTTTTGTGGCATAAGATCATATAAAGTACAGTATGTCGAATAAATGGTTTGGAGTAAATGTTATCAGTAAAATTGACAGCTTTATTTCTCTCTGGACATTGACAGTTTTTATGGATTATTGACTTTAGCTCTTGACAAAGACTACACCATTGACTATTATTTATGTTCGAAGTAAAAATATGCCAGAGTTGAGTGGTTGTAAGTTCACAATGGTTCTGATTGTCTTTCATGTGATTTTGTCTTCACAGTGGGGTCAGCATGTTTGCGATGCTAACTGGAACATTGCCTTTCACTGTGGAACCATTTAACATCAAGCAGCTGCATCAGAAAATGGTCAATGGGGATATCAGTTCCATTCCACCTGAAATCTCATCAGGTATCAGACAAATTGGGGTTGAAAATATGAAATTCACAGTATCAGCTTAGTTCACTTAGTAGCATGTTTGATAATATTTTAGATCAAAATACTGTCAAGCCACTATCTGTGTGTGTGTGTGAATAAAAGTACCCGATGATTACCTGTAGGAGTTTTGATGTTTGGAAGAAGTGGAAAAAGCTTAGTCTTGACACTCAGGTGAGGATGTGCTAAGATGTTTCAGTGACATTGTTGCAAAGGCAATGGTTAAGTTTTTTCACACCTCAAATTGAATTGAGTCCATTGAAGCTCTGACCCAAAACTCAGAACAACAATTCATTAAATTCAAAGATCTTTGGTCAGATGTGAGCACGCATCTGAAATAGCTTATCTCGTGAGTCTCCAGAACGTCAGGAGAGAACAACGACAACAACAAGATTACAATTGTATAGCGACTTTCAAGTCGGGAGGACGTCCCAAGGCGCTAGACAGAGTACAGCATTTCAGACCCGAGCTGGGGTCAGGGGGGAGAAGGGAGGGAAGGGGAAGGGGGGTGGCTGATGGCATGGTCGAAGAGGAGGGTCTTGAGGCGGGACTTGAAGGAGGCTAAGGAGGAGGCGAGGCGGAGTGACTGGGGAATGCAATTCCAGAGATTGGGGGCAGAGTGGCTGAAGGCTCTCCCAGCGGGTGGGTCGGGGGATGTGGAGCAGGCCAGAGTCGGCTGAGCGGAGGGAACAGGGGGTTTGTAGGGGGTTGGAGGTCGCAGAGATAGGGTGGGACGAGGCCATGGAGGGCTTTGTAGGTGAGGACCAGGATCTTGAACTGGATCCTCTGAAGGATAGGGAGCCAATGGCGTTGGGCGAGAATGGGGGAGATGGGGTCACGGAGTTTGGTGCGGGAGAGGACATGGGCAGAGTTCTGGATTATCTGCAGCCTGTGGAGGGAGGAGTTGGGAAGGCCGACAAGCAGGGAGTTTGCATAGTCGAGCCTGGAGGTGATGAAGGCATGAACAAGAGTTTCAGTGGCTGAGGGGTTAAGTAGTGGTGGAGTCGGACGATGTTATGGAGGTGAGGGAAGGCAGAGCGAGTCATGGCTTGGATGTGGGAAAGAAAAGACAGTTGAGGATCGAACAAGACACTCAGGTCCCTGACTGGCTGGTGAGTTGTAGTGAGTAACCATGGAGGTTGATGTTGCCAGAGCCTGAGGTGCTGAGGCGCTGGTGTGAGCCAATCAGGAGGGCCTCAGTCTTGTTCACATTCAACTGTAGGAAATTTGCCCTCATCCAGGACTTGATGTCCGACAGGCAGTCTGTCAGGACAGCAGTGGTCCTGGAGTTGAGGGTGGAGGCAGAAAGATAGAATTGGGTGTCATCCGCATACATGTGGACGTTGACCCCATGTCTGCAGATGATGTCATCAAGAGGGAGCATGTAGATATTAAAGAAGAGAGGGCCAAGGACAGCTCCCTGGGGGACGCCAGACGTGACCCAAATTACATCAGAATAGCTCTTTCATGTCGGGAAGACGTCTCAAGACACTGGACAGTGAGGGATTTATACCCGAGCTGTGGGTAGCAATTAGAAGGGTGGAGGGCAGGGAGGGTAGGTGTAGAAGGGTGACTGAAGGCATGGTCGAAGAGGAGGGTCTTGAGATGTGCCTTGAAGGAGCAAGGGAGGGAGCAAGGCAAAGGGACTGTGGGATGGATTCCAAAGTGTGGGGGCAGAGAGGCCGAAGGCCTGATCCCGGGCGGGGGACGTGGAGCAGGCCTGAGCCTGCTGAGCAGAGGGAGTGGACAAGTTGATATGGCCTGATTGTTTGCTTGTTTATTTCCTGCACTGTGAGGAAAAAAGTATTGTTTTGAAGAGCAGATTGTCGCTAAAATTTTTCATTTTTACGAATGAGTTAATTCTTTTACTTGCTACTTTTAAATGTATATATTTATATCTAAATTTATAATATCATTTTAGCATTCAGGATTACAATTTTCTTTTTAATTGGAAAAGGATATATTTTTATAAATTTTCCATCCTTATTTTGTGGAAACTAAAGAATGGTGTTTTAGTGTTGACCTAAGATACTCTGAACCTTATTGTTTGTACCTACATAAACAGTCCATGCCACTTGGAAGTAACAGAGTTGGTTGTAGATGAAATTGATAGAATGGGGATGCTGAGGACCTTCAGTGGAGATAAACCAAACAATCAGAAACTTGTAATTTCATGCCCACTTCTAGATCAGAAAGATATGGTGGATACTGGCAACCACCTATGTTTTGGTCGCTGCCTTTGTCTCCCTGTTGGTGAAAATGTTCCAGCCCATAAATGTGATGATTTTACCAGCAGGAGCAGGAAACTACAAATGTATTGTTTCTTTCAAAGTGTCTTTGTAGTACACAGTCTGAAAGTGGATACAAACAAGCTGGTGTTTTATCAGTTGTGGAGGGGACCCCTCACACATTGGCTTAGCTGAGAAATGACTGTTAAACCTTAGAGTAAGCACATGTGTATTTACTTTTCTGTCCGTACAGCCAAGGCTTGTCAATCATTCTGTGAATATAACTAACATAGAGGCGGTGTTCTTTCAGGAGGGCTACATTTCATGCTTTGCTTGCTTGAGCCTGATCCAGTCAAACGACCCACTGTGAGAGAAGTTATGGAGGAGAAATGGTTAAGTGAAGGGTTCGTGCGAAGATCCTTGCATTCAGTAGTCTATAAAAACAGGTACTTCATTACAATTACATTGCGGGATGTGTCTTGTTTTTCCCTTTGTAAAGGAAAATTTAATTTGCAAAAAGCCAACAAGTAGGTGCATTATTGGGCATCAGTTTGGCTTGGTTGATAGCACTCTTGTCTCTCGTCACTGGTTCAAAACCCACGTTGGGGCTTGAGCTCACAGTATGGGCTGATATTGCAGTGCATTTGCTGGGAGAGTGTTGCATTGTCAAAGATGCTGTCCTTTAAATTTGATAGATAGATTAGGCATTCACTTTGCAGCTGTTTGTGAGACTTTGTTGTGTTCATATCAGCTGCCACATTTGCAAACACTAAACTTTACAGCAATTTCCTGTGAAGCCCTTTGAGTTGTCTTGATGTTGCACTATTTCAAATATTGTTATTTGTGTCAGAAAGAGTCTTTCTTTGTTTGCAGAATGGAATCATCCCCTAAATTACATTAGTTAATAATTCAGTAGTTTGGGTTCAGATGATTTTCAGGCATTCTCAGAATTTAAATGTTTTCAAATTTCAGTTATGTACAAAATATCTGAAGAACACATTTTAAATAGCTCATTGCCTAAAGGGGAGAATTCACGTTAAAACTTGAATTAAACTGTTATTCCAAAAGATTCCTCTGAAATGCCAAAATCAGCAGGGAGGAAGGTTCAAAGATTCTGCAGACAAGTTCAGTGGCTTTGGGCCCAACGATTGGCCCGATGTCAGGAAGTGTTCTGTGATAACCAGTGGGTGACTGGGACACAGCTAAGAGCAAAAAGTCAAACCATGTGATAATTATTAGCAGTGGTACATAATCAATTACAGACCATCTCCTAAAATGGTTACTTAATTAATACCTGTTATTGAAGAGACTGGAAAGATAACACTTTTGTTAATTCTGATACAGAATTTTATATTTTTTACCCTAACTAGCTATTGTGAACAGTTTAATAAACTTTGGTGAACATTTACCATAATGCAGATAAGACTTTGGTAGGCAATGTGGACCTTATGACATTTTGACTTGTGTTACTTCTATTTGGCTAGTTCATAAAACATAGAATAAATATTTCTATTTCTGTATTATTATTACTTTTAAACAGTTAGTTTCAAATGGTACATAGAGCAATGACAGATTTTTATAAAAGTTAAGATAAGCTTAGACATTTACAATGGGTCCTATTCAGGTCTGAACCATTTTCATAGCTCTCAGGAGCTGTGTCAAACCTATGACGCAACTGTTATTGGCCTTTTAACTGGCTTCATTAACCTCTGAATATGGGTCACATTCATTTATGAGCTGCCCTAAGCAGCTGTAGATATTGGACCTTTATATGTCCCTTCCTTGATCTAGATACTATTTGAAACTGGTTATGCTTTGCGACCTAGCCTTTTATGAAGACGTTTTTATATTTTTAATTGCACACCATACTTGAAGTCTAGCAACTAATGTATTAGATTAATAATTGAAAAAATGGGTCCAACATAGCAGGCACAGAAGATCTTTTCATCATTTAGTGTTACTTAGCATGTTTCTTAAAGTGGTACTTTTGATATACTATAAGTTAAATTATATTGTGGCAATAATGTATTTTAATGACGTGTCTTTATTTTGTAGACTTCATCCTGATGAACTTAATTCATCTGTTTTAAACTTTATGACCGAAAAACTGGGCTTTGGGCTTACAGAAATTATGAACACATTAATCAATAACAGACCATCCCCCATCATGGCAACTTACTGCCTGTTACTGAAGAGACTGGCAAGATACCAAAATGGAATAAAAAACAAGGTGTAAAATGTTGATGCATCCATCAAGTAGTTTTTGAATATTACAAACGCTTTGATCTTTTCATATTGATTGGAAAACATTCTTTGTTGTAACTTATTAACCATATTGCTTTATATTTTTGCTTAATTGGTTAGAGGATTGAGTCTAGTGAGTGGAATATATCAACCAGGTCTCTGTGGATAGATACTGCTGAAAAGAATATCCCTAACAAACCGTCATTTCAGCAGGTAAATTGACTATTAACAGGGTTTCTTTTGCATGTTCTTTATGGCAAGGGATGTGAATGTTTGGTTGATACAATACAAATTTACATTTATATAGTGCCTTTTACGTCAGGAGAACATCTCAAGGTGCTGATATTCAGTGTCAGTGTCAAGCACAGATAAAACCTCACAAGTTTGCTTTTGACAGAACTAATATGAACATTTCATTAACCACATCACATTTTTGGGACATCTCTGAATCAGCCTTTCAATTTGGTGTCAATTGTTTTGAATTATGAGCAGTTTTGTTCTGTGAAATCACACCTACACAGATGTTGACTGACCTCATTTTAGTTAGCCAGCATCTATTGGGGTAGCATTCTTATCTCTGAGTCAGTAGGTAGTAAGTTCAAGCACTTTGTTCTCACAGTCTGACCTGACACTCCATTGCAATACTGTGAGGTCAGTGGTGCTGTCTTTCAGATGAGACGTTAAACTGAAGTCTCATTTACCTATTCAGGTCCCTGTTAAGGATCACATGATATTATTCAAAATGAGAAGGAGGTTTCTCTTGATCCTCCAGATAAAAAGTTATCATTCACTTCATAGTTTGCACACAAAACACAGATCGACGCCAATTTACAAAGTGCTTTGTGCTGTCCTCCTGTTGTGGCAGGTGCTATATCAAATGTAAGGATTATTATTACTGCTGTTTATGAGACGTTGCTGTGCACAAATTAGCTGCTGTGTTCACCTACAAATATTACATTTCTCAGGAAAACTCTGTTAAGCACTTAGATACATTTTGATATTATGGGCACTTTATCCAATGAAAGGATGATTAGATAGGACTTTTACAGCTAGACAATAGTAATGTTGCAACTTTAGACATTAAATCAATTGTTATTGGCTATAAAGTCAATGGAATGGCACCTACTACAAAAGCTGTCATTACCGCAGGGACTGACTGTAGTTTTCAAACCCTGACTTTATATAATCAGACTTTTTGTCAAATGGGAGTGCAATTACAGTGAATCTGTTTCACCAGGATTTTGTGTGAACGGTGACCACAAACTGGTCTATAAATCTACGTGTCCACAACCAATTACCCTGCCTCCTTTCTGGGCTTCTTAAACTGGAAACCTTTGATGCTAATAAGCATCAGCATCTTTTAATAAACATAGACAGAATGTTTATAATAACATATGAACACGACCTTTTCTACTGGATGACGGCAGGATATTTTGAACAAAACAATGAAAACAAGACTTGGTTTCATTTAAAATATATAATTTAATTTATAATCAGGTTGATATAGACATTTAGTTATTGAACTAATTTACTGCTCTGAAATTTAATGCCACTGCTGTTTATAACAGAACATACTGTGGTACATTATTTCCAAAGCATGTTATTTCGCTGAATAAATATATTTACATATAACTGTATTAACTTGTAAACTGATTATTTTATAATTAGGAAGCCTGTTCTGCTAAGAGACTATCAAATGATCAGGCTGATCAGGTATCTCTGGAATGAAGCACAATAAATTGATAATCAAATATGATTTGACATTGCAAATGATATGGAAAATGGGTTGATAATGTATATTAAAGTTAGGTACTGACAGCTAAATTAAATAGTGCTGCTTACACCTGAACACACAGCTTTCATCATAACCTCAGATTAACAAGAGAGCACATAACTATATATATTGCTGAGTTGAAAGGTAGATAGAAGTGAAAGGCCTTACAGATAAAATTATTACTTGATCACATTCCATATCAAACAACCATCTTTTCACGCTATTGTATTATAGGATCACGAACACAACTTGTGAGGGCTTACTCCTCTATTGACTGTTCTTCTGTATCAGCCCTAAATGCTAATTTACAAGTGTTGTCATTATCACAGAGCTTAAAAAAAGATTTTGGAACTGACACTGGTCAGAGAGTACATTCATGCTGCCACAAGACAAAGTGCTAATTAGAATATTTTACTTTACATCTGGCCTCATAGCCCATTTCAGCAACCCTTGGCACTAGAATTTGCAGAAACAATTAATATCGAACTGAGACCTCCATGCTTCCATAACAATTATAACAGTATAGAAATCCAGCAATCTGGCATCAACAATAGTCAGCTCAACACAGGGTCCAGATAGCTCAGATTGTATCATAGCTAATATATTGTGTGTAACTTAATTTGAAGTTTTGGATTAGCTCCAAGAATAGTAAGGTTTGTGGGACGTTACCAACCACACTGTTTTGCCAGGGAATATGCAATTATCAATGTCAGGCATTTGACTTCTATTTTATGGTAAGGATGGAGTGACCATATGATGAAGGAGGATTTGGGAGTAGGATTACAGTACAGTATTCATTGGATCAACTGCACCAAATTAAGCAATGTACATAAGGACATAAGAACATAAGAATTAGGAGCAGGAGTAGGCCATTCGGCCCCTCGAGCCTGCCCCGCCATTTGTTAAGATCATGGCTGATCTTCTGACCTCATTCTAATTACCTGCCCTATCTTCATATCCCCTAATCCCTCTATTTTTTAAAAATCTATCAGTTTCAGCCTTGAAGGATTATTTAGGATCATTCAATTGGAACTTTCTGTTTTCAGACACTTGTGATATTTTGAGAGCTTTGCCATAGATTAGTGGTATCATGTCTTCCAAACCCACAAAGTAAATACTGTCGATATGGTTATTAAAAAGATTTATCTTTTCAACAACATGCTTTGGACTTTTGTTGTGAACGTCAGGTTGAATAGTGAAAATAAATAGTCATGTTCAAAAAAAGCCTTGTAAATGTGAATTTTAACTAGACAACATCTTAGTAAAAAGATTTCATGTTTCAAGTTGTTTCACAAAAATAACTTGTGTTTTTCCAACATTCAACAGAGGGAAAGTAACACAAAAGAAAGTATGTGTGCAAAGCTAAAATCTACAAATCTAAATCTCCAATCACAATCTCAAGATAGTAAGGAAACTACCAAACAGATACATCAGGAAAATCAGAAGAACTCTGAAACAAAGGAACCTGAGTCTGTGCACACACCTATACTGAAGGAGATTATTCAGGAACAAGAGATTGCAGTTGTATTGGCGACTCAAGACAACTATTTCCCGGAAGGTAAAACTGGATTTGTTTACAAGAAACATTTTTAAATTCAAAGTAACATTAATACAAAGTAAATTATTTTCAAAGAAATTAGATTCTTGAAACAAATGTAAAAGGGTATGCGATAGGAAAGTGAGATCAGATTAGTTGACTCATGTGGAGGAAAACACCAGCACAGATTTAATTGGCCAAATAGCCTGTGTCTGTGCTGTAATTGTATCATTCTCTGTACAGTACTGATCAAAGCTGAATAATTACAGTACACTATGAGTGAATAATGTAAGCCAAGAGGAACTCGGAAGTTTCCGAGACACTACCTTGTGTGAAAGGCACTATGCTGTTGCTGTAGGAAATGTGTCCATCGGAATAAACATAAACAATCCTGGAAAGGTTTCAGTGATCATTAACTGCTGCCAATTAAGTTTCTAATTTTTTTTAGGTCAGTGGGTGTCTGGCACATGTGGATACCAATCATCACGCTTAAGAGTATCCAAACCAAACTGAGGATTCCATGCATCCCACCCACACATGGAAATTCCAGAGATAGATTTCTAAGTTTCTAATGATATAGTTTGTTTGCAGGTAACAATGATATTTAATATAGATACATATTACAGGGCAGCCCCATTAGAATGTCCCAGTTGAGCTTGGGTTTGTTTGGAGCATGAGCCTACTGGGGACCTGCACCATCAGATGAGTGGTATACCCAGCTTCTGGTTCTGATTAATCAGCTTCCTGCGCTTAGGAGAATGTCTAACTTGCAAGTCGTCAGGTTAACGGCTAACTTCACTTCTTACAGGTTGCATGCACAGAACCATTCATGAAGTGACATCAGTAGTGATTCCTAATATACCACTCATGCTCAGAATGGAGGAAGTGATATCAGCCATAACCTGACAACCTGGGAGTCGAATGTTTTCTGTGCTCTGTTATAACATGGCCTCTAAGATACTGGATACAGACACCTGTGTTATAACACAATTGGCATGTACTAAGCCAAACTCTGTAAACTATTATTTTATTGTCTTTCCTTTTCTCTCTTTGTGTTTTGTTTGAATTCTTTTTCATTATTTTCTATGCGTTCTATCTATTCTCTGCTTATTTTAACCTGCTTATTGTATCTATTTATTTCTATTAGTTACCATATCTCTTTCCTGGGAGCAACTTTTCAACAAAAAGATGATTTACATTCAAACCAATGAGATTCAACCCAAGGGGCTTCATAATTCTTTTTAGATGGAAGTTAACATTTCTCCATACTGAGCCTAATCACCTACAGAAGTCTAGAATTTATGTTTGTGTCATTTACAGTTTCCAGATTTGCAGGCAGAGAATTAGTTCATCTGGAGCCTCCTGAATCATCCTCTAAAGGTATATCTGACATGGCACAGAACCAAGCCAGCTCAGGATCACAAGGTAGAGCAGAGATCACCCACAGCCCAATTGATGCAAATCAAGAATTTCAAGAACAAAACAATCCCATCATAGGAGATGATCCTGTTCAACCTGTCAGTCAACAGAGTACTGAAGGGAACCTCAAATCAATAATGGTCAGCAAAGGGACACCCAGATCACTGCTGGAGAACAAAGGACACTGCAAAAGCCCAATAGTACATCATGAAACCGAATTCAAATGTCTCCTCCAAGCTATGGAAGACTATACACGAACACCAAATTGGAAGTCTCAGGAGAAAGATGGTCACAATTTTGTGGTAATTGACACACCTCAGCTTTCCCCGTTGCCAAAGCTCAGGCAAGTTGCTTTCAAAGACAGCGTGGCAAAGAAAACTACCTGGATTAGAACATCTCGGCACTCAACAAATGGATCACCACCCTTTTTGGTTAGCGGCATAAGACCTTCATTTTTACCACCTTCCCGCCAGCAGGCTCTGATAGTCAAGAGCTTGCGTCAATCCAAGGAGAAAACACAAACCTGTCTCACAGGCAACTCGTTCAAAAAGAATTCCATACAGCTCAAGCCAACTCAGAAAGCAGCAGATTTAAATCTCCCAGTATTGTCCCCAGTGTTTCAGTCAAAGTCTGATAAAAAACATGAAATAATAAGGTTAGATTTTGTATAAGACTGGTCTTCTGACAATATTGCTGAAGCTCAAATTAAGTACACACATAAGGTGCAGTAAATCACATCTCAGAGCAGATTCAACCCAGCAGGGAACAGATAGTCTGAATAATGAAGAGCTGAACAATTTCAATTATCTCTGCAGATCATTTGGATAGCAATTTTTTGCTGCTACTGTATTTACTATTAAGAATCCACGTCTCCCTCATTGTTTTGCATTAAGTTCAATTAGTTTCCCCCCAGGTAATTTAGGAAGTACACAAGCACAAAATTATGATTTCTCTTTTTCTTCTCTGACATGTTCACTGTCTATATGTACAGACAATTAAATTTAGAACACAAAGACTAACTTAATATCTGCTTAATCAATAATATAGCCATTAGAAGAGTTAAGAGGAAATGTAAGTGTAGTGTCTGTTTTTTGTGGGCGAATAGAGGGGTGAGGGAGAGGGGTTTAGGACAGTTTGAAGTTCATGTGGAAAATAAACACCGCTATAACTAGTTGAACCAAATGAGCTTTTCATACTGTACAGTATGTGTAATTTTATGTATTTAATAGTCCTCAGGAGAAATGGCCTTGTGAGTGTACATAAAAAACATAAATGCTTATTGTTCCATTCTTTCAAATTATGAAAACGCATTTCCTGGATGACAATAGCAAAGGGTGAATATATAGGAGCCATCTTTGTTTCTCCTCTTTATTGCTTCTTATTGTTTATTATTCCTATTGTAATATGAATTCTAGTCCTGTTCTCCCAAATCTGTGTTTGCTTGGAATTACACTGTGCCAGAGTTGGTACATTTTTAAAGCAATTTTCTTGCTCCTTTCTACCTCTGTGACCTTCTTAAAACCCTACCAACTGGCACATACTGGCCTGCCCCACGTCCCCACTCTGCCCGCTCCACCATTGGCAGTCAGGCTTTCAGTCTTTCTACCCCCACCCTTTGAAACTCGATTCCTGGAGTCCTGTAGCTTGCTGGTTGGAGCACTCACCTCACAAGCGAGAGACCTGGGTTTGATTTCTGGCAGGGCAAAATATTGGGCAGGTCTCCTTTCTCCACACACCTTTGTTTGCATGGTGATGGGTGGGAAACCATTGTTTGTTGATTGGCGGATCGCTTTTCCAGTGGTAATAATTCCTTCAAAAAAAATAATAAATTGGTCACTTCAATCCATGACTGTTTATGGCACAATTGTCTGCCGTGTTTCACCCACAAAATATATTCACTCAATTCACTTTGCAGTATATTTGGTGAAGCCCTTTGAGACATCTCAAAGATGTGATAAGGCATTATATCAAATACAAGGATTGTTATTATTATAATAGGATTAGAGTGTTTTCAGAGACAGTTCGAAATGCCATCCGGCGTGAAGAGCCGCTACATAATAAATATAATAATCCTTACATTTGATAAAGCACTTTTCACGTCTTCTAGACATTTCGAAGCGCTTCACAGAATATACTGTACAGTGAATTGACTGTATATTTGTGGGAGAAACACGGCAGCTAATTGCGCACAGCAATGTCCGACAAACAGTCGTGGATTGAAATGACCAATTCATTATTGTTTTTTTTCTTGAGGGATTATTATCAGGCGTGTGGAGTAAGGAAACTTGCCCAAGGTTTTGCCCTGCCGGGAATCAAACCAGGTCTCTCGCTTCCGAGGCGAGTGCTCTAACCGCTGAGCAACAGGACTCCACTATATAAATGCAAGTTGTTGTTGTTGTTCCACCAGTTTAAAATATCAATTCAAACAGAACCTGGAGCTATTTATCCCATGATTTGACAGTTGAAACTGTAACATTTCCAGCAAGTAAGAGGAAGAAAAATGCCTATTGTCACTCATAGGCCATTAATAAATGACAGATGCATTGATGTCTCCTTTCTACAGGCAGACACTCTCTCCATTGTTGTGTTCAGTTACATACAACCAGGGTTTGAAAACTTCCTTTTGTATTTATGCATACAACCAAAACCAGCAATAGTGGTCCTGTACAATTTACCTTTGTACATCCCAAATAATGTAGTGTTCCAGTTTTCATGTGAGATAAAAATCAGTTTCTTTTAGTCACCATCAAATATCAGATGAAATGACAGGCGTCTATTCACTATTACCTAATGAAAATCTGTTGCAAATTGATTGATATGAAAAATTGTATTTTAGTATGACCAGCTTGGTGTAAGCCTTCTTATCATTTTATTATTTAAATGGAGATAAAGGATATGTGATAAAATAGGAAAATTATTGAAATTATATTTTAAAATGTCTGGGATCACATTGACACATTAACATAAATGAGTAGACAAAAGTAGACAAAACTACTGATCAGAATGTTTCTTGGAAGATTCAAAAAGGCTTACACATAGGAAGATTATTTTGATGACAAAATTATGTCACTGTTGATGCCTATTTGAATTACCATATTATTGTGACACAGCTGTTATAATGTTTACATACTTTGTATAGAGCTCAATATTCATTGTAATGTATGCTATGAGGGAATTATTTCGACAAGAGTGCCAAAGTCACTTTGACTGCACTTTGCAATTAAAACCAATAAGTAACACTGGATTTCCAAAAATCAAATTGTAAGTATTTTTTGCTGGAAATGTAATTAAGACCAATTTTTAATTTGTAATCTTCGAATATTTTAAATTATTGAGTAGAATTTTTCAAGTTATTAATACTAGTCAAATGAAATTTCTTTCCTATTTGCTTAAAACTTTTTAAACAATGGTATGATTCCATGTAACATGCTGGCCTTTCTTCAAAGGCAAACTTGTTGACTATTTGGTCAAATCTGTACATTTTCCCATAGCCCGTGCTTGATTTATAAATATTTAAACTTTCAATATAGTGATGACTGTTATTATAAATAATATACAAAATTAAATGCAAACATTTCCATAGTACTGAGACTTAAATATTTCTCATGTTTGTAACCTTAAATCCATTGCTTTAAATTTTAAGATCACTTTAGTGTCTTCACAGAATATACTGAACTGTATATTTGTGGGCGAAGTGGAGTCCTGTAGCTCAGTGGTTAGAGCTCTCGCCTTGCAAGCGAACACCTGGGTTCAATTCCAGGCAGGGCGAAACCTTTGGCAAGTTTCCTTACTCCACACGCCCAATAATAATCCCTCCAAAAAACAAAACAATAATAAATTGGTCATTTTCAATCCACGACTGTTTGTGGGACACTGCTGTGCGCAATTGGCTGCCGCGTTTTGCCACAAATATACAGTCAATTCACTTTACAGCATATTCTGTGAATTGCTTTGAGATGTCTAGAAGACGTGAAAAGCGCTATATCAAACGCAAGGATTATTATTTATTATTATTATTAAAATTGAATTGCTTTGAGATGTCCTGCTGATTGAAAGGTTGAATATCAAATGAAAGAGTTATTATTATTAAAAAACATTTTGAAATACTGTAACAGCATTCAAATTAGGATGAATTTAAAACTTTTTAAAACAATGGTCTCTTAAGGCGAAGACCATGACAATCTTGAGCCACTGATGATTAAGAAAATGTGCAATGAATCATATCTAAATCGGGATGATGTTAAACATTGTTCAATAGAGTTCTCTTTCTAAACTTCCAATGCACCTTTTGAGATTTGCTTTGTATATCTCTTGACAGAGTGTGGCACTGCTGTTCAAATGGTCGATTTGACAGGAGATTATGAGCAAATATTTTTAATAACCAAATAGAGAACAAATGTTAACCATCCCAACACGAAGGGTTTCCGCAAACCATGATTGATTGGGATATTTAAACAAGGGTAGAGACATACTTGGAAAGTAAAGAGACATAGAGAAAAGGAAGAGAAAAGGCAATGAAATGGGATTACAAGAACTGTCCTGAACTAATAAAATGGTGGAACAATACTTCTGTATTATGTAACAAATCCCAGACAATTTAGAGTATTTTTTGTATTTATAAATCATCTGCTCTTGTAGTTTTTATGGGATTTTGACAATGGAAACACTCCTGTGAAAACTTTTACTTCAATAGAACCCAGATGAAAGCCAAAGGCTCATATGCGCAAAAATTCTACCCGGATTTAGATTTACTCTATTAAAATAACAATTCAGGTTGTGCAAATTGGCAAACTGTGGTGCGGTTTTAACTTTGAAACCGTTTTCTCAAGCTCTTAAAAGAACTTGCAGAAAACTGGTGACAAAATTAAAGACAGTATGTATGGTGGCCTGGATACACAGAGCGAGCACAGGGCACTCTTTATTCTGCTGTCTCTGTCCTATTGCCTCTGGAAGAGCCGAACACCCACCTCACAATACGGTGATAGTCACCTCTGGATGCAACAGCTCCGCCTTATTTATATTTCAATCCTGCTCCCAAAGACAGGGCTATTGCCAGCTTTGGTGCTGCAATGTTAACATAACATAACAAACTGAAGTTAACCAGCAATTTGCAACACACACATAGCAATGTATGTAATACAGATGAAACTGAAACCTTATCCTACATTTATGATGGACTATTACTTTTCTATCAGGAAAAGGCAGTTAGAATGAATATTTCAGCAGCCAAATAAGACATGATGACACTTTGAAAGCTTTGTAAATATTTAATAGGAAACTGTGATACTGGATAGCGATTCTTGGATAGACACCTGAGCCTGGTAACTGGTGAAAAGAGATTGAATCTAATGACGCCTTACTGTAGAAGCTTCCTGTCAATGTTGTGAGCAAATCCTCAACACATACTACAATAATCACTGAAATTAACAGGCAGCATCTGTAGCATATAAGTTGTTGGCAGAGACATGTCAAAATGGTGGCCACAATTTATCATCAAATTGTGGACTTTGGTATGGTGTAGACACAAAGGATTTCACAAGATCATAAGTTTGGTTTGGTTGAAGAGGCCCTTCGGCTCATTTGAGACATCCTTCCAGAACTCCCATCCTCCCACCACAGCATCAAGCTGCTTTTTTCAAATGAATGAGTCCAGTGTCCTGACCTCAGCCAC